AAAATCAAAGGCAACATCTAAAAATGAAAAATGTAACTACGATAAGAAACTCAATAATTGGTTAAATATCAGATTGTTCATAATTAAAGAGAGAATTATTAAAATGGAAGACAAAACTAAAAATCAGACAGAATATAGCACAATGACATTGTGATGGTTAATCTTATATGTCAGCTTGACTGGTTATGGAGTGGCCAGATTAAATATTATTTCTGAGTGTGTCTGTGAAGGTGTTCCTGGATGAGATTTGTATTTGAATCAATGGCCTCAGTGACATGTATTGCCCTTTCCAAGTGGGTGGGCAGCATCCAATCTGGTGAGGGACTGAATAGAACAAAAAGCAAAAAAAGAGAGAATTTATTCCTTTCTTGCCGACCTGTTTGCACTGGGACATTGGCCTTCTGATGAAGATGAGAGAGATGAGTTCTGATCTCTCTTCCTCTTCTTATAAGGATACCAGTCTTACTGCATTAGGTCCTCACCCTTATAACCTCATTTAACCTTAATGACCTCTATAAAGGCCCTATCTCCAAATACAACCACATTGGGGGTTAGAGTTTCAACACAGGAATATGGGTGGGACACATTAATTCATAACAATAGGCAGGATTAGATAGACCAGGGAAAGAAATAATATTTAAAGACATAATAATCGAGAACTCTTAGAACTGATTTTCAGTAAACTTAAAAAATCCAAATCAGCATAAATGAAAAGAAACACATGCTTAGACAAATCATACTAAAAGTACATAATATCAAAGACAAAAATAATGTTAAGGGCAGATAGAGGAGACAAAAGAAACCTCTTTTAGACTGACAGCAGACTTCTTACCAGCTTCAATGAAAGTAAAAAAGATAATGGAGTAATAATATCTTCTAAATTAACTGTGAACCTAGAAATGTATATCTAGTGAAACTATTTTTTTTAATAATAAGTGCCAAATAAAGATATTTTCTGACACTAAAACTGAGAATCTTCACTAAAAGAAGTCATACAGAATATATTCCAGAAAGAAGATCTGAGCTAAAAGGAGGAACTGTGAGTAAAGGAAATAATAAATATGTGAGCAAATAAAAACAAATACTTACTATGTTAAATAATAATACTGAAAATTAATTTATATGGTTATAAATTTTTTTAAATACTGGAAAAATATATAAGTGTGTGTGGGTGATCACAGTTATAAAGCATTCTAAGCTCCAATAATGATGAAGAAAAGGATAAATGTATTGACTATAAAATTTGTTAAGAAAGCATGTTAAAGTTTTAAGAGTAATACTGAAAGAATAGACAGAGTATAAAATTTTCCAATTAGTAGAGGAGAAGAAGTAAACAAACAAACAAAAAAAACCAACCCTTCAAAGTCAAAAATGGCAAGAAACGAACAGAAGCAAAGGAGGGAGAGAAAATGGAACAGATGAAAAGCACAAAATCAGATGGTAAAAAGAAATTCAAATATAAAAGTGGTTACAAAAAGTATATAGAACTTTCCAACTAAAATACAAAAATTGTTGCCTTAGGTTAAAAAGAAGTCCATCCCAATGCTACTTACATGAGAAAAATCTAAAGATTGAGATAAAGTTTAAACACAATAATTGAAAGTAAAGGATAAAAAAAGATATACTCAGTAAATCCCAACCCAAAGAAAGCAGCAGAGCTATATAAAAATGAACAAAATAGAAATTAAGGCAAAAAGCATCAACAGGGATGAGAGAGACACTATACAATGACAAAATTATTCATCAAGAAAGTTTAATAATCATGAAACTTTATGTACCTAAAAAAGAACTTCAAATTATGTAAAGCAAGAATTGACAGAACTTAAAGAGAAAATTTTAACATCCTTATGTTAGCAATTGAGTCATAGACAAAAAAAAATCAGTAAAAGTATTAAAGATTGAAGAATCACAATTTACCAAGCTTAGTATAATTTGGGGGTATATGGAACATGAATGGTACCAAAGAATTAGAGACTTCACATTCTTTCCAAGTGCCTGTGGAAAGAAAACTGATCACATACTCTCCATAAAATAGATCTCAACTAATTTTAAAGAAGTGTTATTAGAAAGACTATGACTTCTAGGACTCACTGTGTGTGAGCTGCATCAGCTGGAATCCCAGTTTTGAACTGTTCCAACTGAAGTGCTTTTCATCAACATTTTCTCTTGGTTGAGAAATCAGAGGACAATTTGTTGACTTTGATGATGATGAAGAAAAATTCATATTTTATGCCAAGATGAGAAAAGTTACCAAAAAAGAAAGACTATGATCTCTAAGAAATTCAATTAAATTAGAAACCATACAAAAGCATAACTACAAATCTATCTTCTGTATATAAAATATTAAAGATGCTTCTAACAACACACAGAATTAGGATATATTTCAAAATAAACAATGATAAAAACACTATCCTATATCCAAATTTGTAGAATATAGCTAATGTGCTACCTATAGGAAAACCTATAGCCTTAAATGCACATTAAAGAAATGAAAACAAACCTAAAAATTAATGATCTAGACAACCGACTTGAGAAATTATAAAAATAACATCATAAACCCAGAGAAAGTAGAAGGAAGGAAAAAATAAAGATAAAAGCAGAAATTAATAAAATAGAAAACAAAGACCATATTTTTGAAAGAACCAATACAGCAAAAAGTTGAGTTTTGAGGAAAAAAAAATAAAATTAACAAACTTTGGCAAGACTAACCAATATCAAAAGGGAAGAGATACAAACAAGCAATGTTTAGAATGTAGAGGAAAGGACATTACAGATACAGCAAGAATTAAAAGGATAATAAAGTAACTAAACATGAACAATTTGTGTTGACAAATTTGAAAGTTTAGATGAATGAGACAAATTCGTAGAAAAATATTGTCATCATATCAGATTGACATGGTTATGGAATGGTGTGAACTGAAAATTGACTAAAACTTTTCAGGCTTACACCAAAAAGGGATGATCTCTTAGAAAATCCTCCTGAAATTGTCTGGATACCTCCTGAACAGAGAAGGAAGGGTTATCTGAACTCACATATTTCATGCTAAGCCTCTGATGGTATACTGAAAGGCAAATTAAATCTTTTTAGGGGGTGGGAGTGGAGTGGGAAAGGCCAAACATCAGCACCCATCCACAATGGAAGGCAACACGAGTTATGAAATTATATTAGTGTTCTTATTGAAAGCATACCCCCATTGCTCATTTTCTTTTTATTATTGTGTGCAATCTCAGAAATTCAAATTTTAGATGATACAGCATTGACTTCAGAGTTGAATTTTTTCCTAATTTGATCAAAACTGGAGTAAGTCTGTTTTGCAGGCTTACCTGCCACTTTCTGATGCAGTAAGAACTCATGACACTACAGACTTCTTCAAATGACCAACTGACAGATCTACAAATCAAATGCCTAAGAAGTAAGTGAGACTGTGTAAGAACATGGGCTTTGAAGTCAAAACAACCAGGGTTCAAGTCCACCACAAAGTTTGCACGATCTTGAGAAAATTACATTTAACTTATCTGCATCTCAGTTTTCCCGTTGGCAAAATAAAAAGGATTGTTCATGGAATTACTAAGCCCAGCACAGGAAGTACTTATATAGAAAGTGTTTATTGCAGAACCTGTAGGTACTCTATACGGTAGTTCTTTTCCTTGTGCCCACTAAGTGTTGGAGGGGATAATATGTTTTTAAGCGATATAGGTCATGCACGATGAACATGCTTCTCCTAGAACCTGGCTTAGGAAATTCTAAACATCACATATTTAATACTTCTATTGTTTGGACCAAAAGATTCAGTTTCAAGAAATTTTGCATTTTTGGTTATCATACTTTCCAGGGGACTGGTTAGCATTTAGCCTGTTAGTATTACAAAAGAGAATGTCCTGGGAAATATATACAAGATCTTGTGACAGCTCACAGCAAGAAAAAATGTGACAATGAATATATGTATGTTCACGTATAACTGAAAAATTGTGCTCTACACTGGTATTTGATATAACATTGTAAAATGACTATAACTCAATAAAAAAAATGTTAAAAAAAAAAAAGAATGTCCTGGCTTTGAAGTGACTGTAGAAGAAGACATAGGGGCATCAGTGAAGTGGCTGACTGCTCACCCCAACATGCTGCCCAGCTGGTGACCTATTCATGTGTATAAATATGTGGGAAGAAACTTTTGTGGACTGGCCTGCTTGATTCCTTGAAAGATATATTCCCACAATGGAAAATGTTATTTGTCACCCAAACAGCCAACTTCCAATAAGTAGTTCATATTTGACAAATGAATCTTTGAGTACATATTAATACCAAATTATATTTAGAGTCCAGAATTTCTAGGCCTCTACATCATTGGTGTTTTGTTTTTTTAAACTGTGGGACCTAACCTATTATTGGGCTGTGAAATCACTTGCTCAGGAGAACTGCAACTATGATTAGTTGGTTATGATCAATACTGAAATTATTTGAAAGCATTATATATGGCCAGGGAAAGTACTGTTTGAGAAACGTTCCTATCCATGTTCTAAGTGTGAGTGTGTACATGTGCATGTACACATCGTGGGTCATAATGTCAAAAATATATCTCACTCTGGGTCTTGGTCAAAATGAAAATTGAAAGTTGCTGCTCCATGTAACCTGGCAGAAAGGTTTGTTGCCCAGTATATGGGGCAGGGGCAGATGGGAAGGTTCCCAGCTCCTGTTGTTCTAAAATCTGAGAGCACACAACATCCTCACACACATTTTCATACACTCAACGTGCAGTTCCCAGTGTTCAAGTTTGTTTTGTACATCAGCTTTTGGGGACTCAGAATGCATCATGTAAGAGAAAGACATTAGACCAGCCCACAACATTCTCTTTAACCTATAATGCACTGTACTGTGCCATAGTACTAAACCACCCAAGAATTGTAACAGTGTTCCAAGGGGAGAATGCAATCATTCCAATGTATGAAACGAGATACTCACTAACCTGGAGTAGAAGACACCTAATTTGGTTTCCACTCACCTGGTGATGACTTTCGGCAAAACAGTCCTATCTCTGGACTCAGCTTCCTCAGGGGTGAAATGTTGAGGTTCTTTAAGGTTTCTTCTTCCTCTGTCACATGACGATCCAATATCTCCCTTACTGTCCCACCTTCCTCTTACGATAGAAGGGTAGTGGGTGGAGGGAGTAGCACAAATTTTACCATAAGAATAATCTGCCCACTTTCTAGTTCTGTGACACTGAGCATGTCACCAAATCCCTCTTGGCCCCCATTTCCTCATCTGTAAAATATAAATGAGAACTTTCATCTGCAAAAACTTAAATGTAAAAGCATCAAGTATCATAATCACAGTTTCCTTCTTTATTCCTCCTTATTCCCTCATCTTCCCCACCTCCCAGACTGTGCAAGTTGACCTATGCTGTCCACCACCCACTGCTTAACCACTGACCCTGGAGCTAGAGAAGGGGCTTGGTGGAGAGGGGAGAGCCAAAAAGCAAGAGGAAGGTAGGGGTGGGGGCCTGTCCCTGCAAAGCTATGGGAAGCTGGGGAAGTCTGCTTGCAGTGGAATCCCCTCTGGGCCCTGCCTGCCTCCCCAGGTTCTTCTTTTCTTAAAAACTACCTCCCTGCCCACCACCGCTGCCTCCACAGGGCCCTAGCAATCTTGAAATAGGATAAGGAGAACTGGGTGGAAACAGGAAAGGAAAAGGATGGAAGCTGCAGCTGTTGGGAGGATTCCCTGTGTGGACATGATGCTGGTGTGCTCAGTCTTCATGGAAGCCTCTGATTTCAAAGGCTTCAGTATTTGTCATCTCCTTCCTACAGCATCAAACAGAATAACACAAACAAAAGTACACAAACTCAGCCTCTCCACACCAACAAGAAAGAGAGATTTTTGTTGTTCGTCTCAATGAGGAAGATGAGGGAGATGGGAGGGAGGTTGACCTCACAGTGTGCATATTATACACAACACAAAAATCCTCATCAGGATTCCAGGTTCTTCTCTGAAAGCTCCTCTGTGGCTGCCAGCCACCTGGCCTTCTTCCCTCCTCTGGTCTACCTCCATTCAGGCAGCATTTACTTCTTCGAGGCCTCTCTCCACCTCTCTCCTTTTTGGAAACAAAGCATTTAGTTCCTACAAATTTGTCTCCATTACTTGACATCATCCTCAGTGAAAAAGGAAATAAACTCAAACTCTCTTGAATCACTCTTTAATAGGGTGGTAGGGAAATTATAAATGATAAACCATTTTCATCTTATCACATACATACAAGTATGCCCACAAAATCACTTGCTGGTGGTAACGCTGGTTAATCTTGCACATCAAGAATCCATGCTGGAGGAGAAAAAGAGTGTGAGATAGGAAGAAACTCCAAGTACCTAAAGTGACTTTGGGCTGATAGTAGATCCCATGTGGATGCAATGAGGCTGGAGGGCCGCTAATATGGGAGTGACAGGGGATATATTCTTTGCAGTGGTCTTAACCTAGATGATGCCCACGCCCTACCATCTGCAATTTCAGCAAAGTTCAATTATCAAATTAATCTTCTTACAACATTTATTTCATCAAGTCTTTATCTGATAAAAATAAACAGTATATCCCAATTCCTTTTAAAGGGATGGAGAGTCAGGCTCAGGCTAACTTTCACCTTTTGTCTATTTCCTAAGAAGGTCTTTAAGGTTAGGGGCTTTGTGATAATCATTAGGGGCTTATCCTTGCAGGTCTATCATAGTGCCTTTTAAATAAAAGGCAGCCAGTGAATGCGTGTTGAACTGCATAGACTTAAACATCATGAAAACACATAAAACCCTTTTATAGACAACTATCTATAGAAGTCTAATTTTAATTAAATATGTTCTTTACTGTTTTCTACCAAGTTGTAATTCAGCATCTAATCTAATCTTAACCTCATTATATGACCACAGAACACTGTCATTTAATGTTTATGGAACTAGTGCTTAGTACAGAGAATGGTGTTACTCTTAAAACATGGCCCAGATCCAAAATGAAGCACATGTACACAGCTATCAATGGCATTAGCTATGAGCCACTTCCTATATCCACTCTCAGGACTCTTTCACTCTTTGCTATCCCAGAAAAATCCTGAGATTTCTTACTACCAGTATAAAATATATTTCTGACTCAAGAGACTACTGCCTATTAAAGAGAATGATCAATTTAGCTGTCTTATTGTAACATACATTTGGATGTTGATACTTGAAAATTTTACTTGTATTTGACTAAAGTTCTCACTCTCTGCTGCAAAAATAAAAATTAAAGTGCCAAGCATCAAAATTTGAAATGTTCTCTTAGCAAGGACCTTGGAAGATTTGGCAAGTATGGGAATATATTCCAGTTAGGAAAAAGAATCAGAAATAGTTTGCTTTCATGTGGAGCAGAAACAATATTCACTTACAGTTTTACCTCAGAACTATGCCAATTCTCTTAACATCTGTTACAGTACATTTTGAAGACATGTGTCTGGGCATCTGATGGAATATCACTTTGATCACTTTGATGTCACACTGATCAGGTAAGTGGAGTCCTTGATGAGATGATGAGATAAGCCCCCTGAAGATCAGGGAATTTTTAGGGGTCCAATGGTCAGATGCATGCCAGGTATCCCCTCCAAAGAGGAATTTGCTGCATACTGCATCCCATAGTACAAATAAGGAAGTACAGCACCTGGTAGGCCTCTTCAGGCTCTGAAGGCAACACATTCTACATCAAGGTTTTTCAACCTTCACACTGTTGGCACTTTGGACCAGATAATTCTTTGTGTGGAAACAATCTTGTGCATTGCAGAATGTTCAGCCGTATCCCTGGCCTCTACCCAAGTTGATGCCAATAGCACTCCCCCTACTACGGTCGTGAAAATGAAAAATGGCTCCAGACTTAGCCAAATGTCCTCTGGGGAGCAAAATTATCCGTGGTTTAGGACCATTGTTTACATCCAGGAATTCTGCTGTCTCATTATACCAAGTGACAGGGAAAGCTACTAGATATCAGGGTGGTCCAGAATAGAAATGAGCTTAGCAGAAGGTACAGGTTTGGGTATAAGCAGGTCTACTGCTCGAGCTATACTATCCAGCAGACTTTCTAGTCTTGGAGATGTCCATAGTGGGAAAGATTCAATGTTCTTATTAATATGTTTGGGTCTAAATGCCCCATAATACATTTGCGCTTTGCCTGCCTCTCTGTTCTTTTCCCTCTTCTCTTTTTTTCCACCTTTCTTTTTGATTAAGCATTTTCTATTATTTCATTTTTTCCTTCCTACTGGCTTTGATGTTAGTCTTTTTACTATTACTGTTTTTTTTAGATTTATCCAGGTATTTTTCATTGATTTTCACTCTTTCCTACATATCAACATTCTATTAGAGACAGTTTTCTTCTGCCTGAGAAACACTCTTCAGTATTTGTTTTTAAGAGCATTTTCTACTTTGTCTGAAAATGCCTTTTACTTCAGGGCCAAGTATTTTTGGTATTGAATTTTCGGTAAAGAAAATGTCATTGTTGTTTGGCTTCCAATATTTTGATTGAGAAAGCAGATTTTAGCATAAGCAGTGCTCTTTCTATGGTAACTTTTTCTCTGGTTGCTTTTATGATACTTTTTGTCTAATTTTCAGCAGTTTTATTATGATATGCTTAGGTGTGGATTTGTTTTTCTTGCTTACTTGGGATTAATTCATAAACCTGAACCAGTTGCTTGCTGTCCTGATTGATAGTTGTGTAAAGATCTCAGCCATTATCCATTCATATATTGCTTCTACCTCTTTCTGTCTCTGCTCTTTCTGGGGAGTTCAATTAAATTCATCACAAAGCTCTCTTCTCCGTATTTTTTATTCTTTCAGTTCTGGTTTTATTTTATTTTCTTCTGACTAGTCTTTCATGAATTCTATCTTCAGGTGTGTCTAATCTGCTATAAGCCCATCCTTTGAGTTCTTAAATTCAATTAATGTATTTTTGGGTTCTCTAACTTTCATTTGGTACTTTTCTGTATTTTCCCAGATATCTGCTGAAATTCTCTATCTTGACTTTTATCTCCTTGGGCTCAATAAGCATATTTTAAATTTTGTGTTGTTTCTGTTACTTCTATTTCATGCTGTCTTATGTCCACACGTGCCTTGTTATTTTGAGATGGACATCAAATCTGTAGACTCTTTGTAAAATACCTTGAAGTCTTGAACTCCAATTTCTGTCCACCTATACCTACAAGAGGCCATCAGAAGCATTGCTGAGCTGATTAGCTAACACCTACAAAATCCTCAAAAAAAATTCAAGGGAAAAGTGATTCCAAACACAGGTTTACTTATCTAGGCTTTTTTTCTTTCCAGACTCCTGGCTGCAATTCCTCACTGTTAGTTTTCAATTTTTTAAAATCATTTTTTTTGAAATAATTTTGCCTATTTTTTTCCTATGTGTTCTAAGTTGAAGAGTTGGTCCAAATAACCTTACCTTCTTGTTGCTGTAAGTCATTTATATTCTTATACATAGGAACTGGACGAACTGGAATTTCTGTTAAGATAAAGGTGGTTTGAGAAGGGTGAAGATATGTGGGAACAGTGGTTTAAAAGATACTTGTATAACTACTTTTTTTTTAAAATTCCTTTTGAATGTTATATTCACATAAAATGCTTGCCTTTTCTTTCTTTTGTGGAGGTATGGCAAAATAGCTCTTACATGCAAAGTCTAAACTGCAGTAAGGTCCTTTCAATGATAATTTCCATTGTTTGAATCTAAAGTAATTTCAAGCTGCTTCATACAGTTTCTGTACTATCAGAAGTTAAAACAAGAAGTGAATTCTTCATTCCAAAATTTGCACTGGATGTACTTTTCAAATTCACACTATAATTCCAGCATTTTTTGGACCTCTATGAAATTGCAAGAGAAATTTCTATACATAAAACTCTATTTAACTGTGCAATTGTGGAATTTCCACAAACTTCAACTGGAAATGATTTGCAATGTGATGATATTAATTTTTGTCAATGAAAATTTTGTAGGTATTTGTTTTCTCCTAAGTATGTATATAATATTGTCAATTTTGGACTCTTGGTCTACAGAGCTTAAGATATTTACCATCTGGCCCTTTATAAAGTTTGCTAGTCCATAAGCTAATACTTCATACTGGTAAGTCTTCCCTAACTATGAGTTATTAGTTAAGTGAAATAAGATGCCCCTTCCTCAATGCATTCTTCATTGTTCTCTTCCAAGCTCCTTGCACAAATATATTTATATAGTTTCTGGACTATATAAAATCTGTAATGTATAACTTCATCAGATTCTGTGAGGCTTTCTCACTTTGAAAACACATTTTTCTTTCAATTATGAATTCTGATACCTACTGGGAACTGATTCCAAGGCCTTTTGACAGTCAGTGCATTAATGGTGACTCAGGCATGACTACTCTTGTCATATTCAAACTTAATCTGTTGGGGAAAGCCTTCCTACATAGACACACACACACTGTTTCTCTCCTTTGTGAATTCAGCAGCCTCTGCTCCTGTGGTATTTCCTAGAGGAACTACCACAATCAGTACATTCGTAAGACTTCTGTCTAGTGTAGGTTCTCTGACATGTATTTAAAACAGATTTCTTCATAAAGGCTCTCTCTTATTTAGTACAAACGTAATTTTTCATTACAGTGAGTTTTCTGGTATTTAATCTAGCACGCAGCACTTTCTCATTCACTACACATACATGGTTTCAGTGTGTTAATTTTCTGATTTACTTGGAATTGTGACTTGGAAGTGAAGGACATGCACAATCATTGCATTCACAAAGTATCTCCCCTGTATGAACTTTGAGGTGCAATTGTACTAGCATTTATTGCTGTGTAAATTATCCCCAAACTCAAAAAGTTTTCAACAATACTTATTACATTTCTAAGGTAGGAATCTGGGAGTGGCTTAGCCGTGTAGGTCTGGTTCAGGATCTCTTGTGACGTTTTTATTCAAGGTGTCAGTTAGGGTTAAGAGAATCAGCTTCCAAGTGCATTCACATGATTGTTGGTAGACCTTAGTTCCTCTAGTTGCTGACCAGACTTCAGTTCCTCACTGTGTGGGACTTTTCACAGGTCTACTCACAGTATGACAATTTGCTTCTTTCAGAAGCAAGAGATCATAAAGGATACCCGCAAGA